CTGATCCATACAAGATTATATTGGCAAATCAACCAAGTAGAAAAAAATGAAGTTTGTCTGAGTTGGGATAAATCTCAGAAAGATATGCAGGTAAGCCAATTTCAATGCAAAATTAGTAATAGGGGATAGTATACGGACAATGGGAATTAGCATTACGGGACCATACTTTGTATTATACGTACAAGCTAAAGTTAACATTGGGAAATTTAACATGGGTGGAACTGTAGACTGACAAGATGTATAATGAACAAAGATTGGTCTATATAAAGATAAAGGTAAGTTGAGACTGTATAGGGACAATAGGAATACAATAGGTGACATGACATCACGAAACTGGCAACACTGTTGTGAGTGGCTGACCTCAATCGGGCCAACAGCAAACAGTGACAGCGGGAAAAAAGCTGTAATGTCTTGTCCCACCACGCCAGGCAAATAAATAGACATATCACACATATGTAGATTTATGAACATAAATTTATCACACATAAAATATAAAATCAACAAAATATTTTAGGCAATAGGGAGCAATCTTTTTGAGGCAATGGAGTGGCCCTGAAAAGGCCTTTGTGTTTCTTCTTCTTTTTCTTCTGAGTTCTTTTTCTCCTCCATCAGCTTACTATCTCTTCTACATTCTTTTTTTTCCTTCTCATTTTCCTACTCTTCCTCCTTTTACTCCTCCTCCTCATTTTACTTTGTATTGTCCTCTTCCTTTTCTATTTTTTCATTTCAAGTACTCATTCTTATTCTATCATCTTCGTCCTCCTTCTCCTCTTTTACTTGTTTCATCAATTTTCTTATCCTTTCCTTCATCCTCTTTAAGTTGTTTATCTCCATTTTCAGCCTGTGTTTATTTCCATTTTCAGGTTGTGTGATCCATACTCGTTATACTGCATCCTCACCAAAAATTCCTCCAACATCCTCATGTCATCTACTGACTCTTACAGCATCTTCGTTGCATCTATTTTGTCAGAAGCCATGTTTTTTATTATTCAGTGTTGAATGGCGCAAATGAAGAACGCTATGATTTATATACATCAAGCACGAAAGTGAAAGAAACATTCCTTACAAAAAATTCACATATTATATGTTATCCACAGAGAAGAGAGAAAAAAACCAATTATATAGTATCCACACTCATATCTATCATCTACACAGAAGGGGATGAATCTCCCAAATATATACTATCAACACTGAAAGGGTAGAAAAAACTGATATCCACTATCGATAAAGAAAGATAAAAAAAAAACCGATTATATACTATCCACATAGGTACGTGCGCACAGCAATACACATAGAAACAACACAGAAACGTACGCGCACACATACAAACACACACCTATATCAGTAAATGAGCCAGTGTTTATAATCACACTACCTCATATTCACACAAATTGGCAACTCAATCAGTCTCTCTTTCTCAGAGATCTGCTTAGCCATGTAAAGAGATTTTATTTTACCTTCATATGCACCTGGTTAATGGTGACACCTCCCAGGTCTGGCCCCACACACGCAACGTCGGCTTCAATCATTGGTCCAATTGACTGTAGGGAGTGCGGCTGATGATTGATTGGCCTCATCATCCCAATTCTCAATGTAAAGGACAGTGAACACTTCTTTTTGTTATTGTTGTTCCCTCTATCTTCTGAGTCACACTCGGGGATAATCTGGCCTCCTTTTCTCAAGTAGACGCTGTGCTGGTTGTTGTTGCTGGGACTGTGGTTGTTGTTGCTGTGGCTGTGGTTGATATTGGTGTGATGGTGGGTACTGCTATTGGTTGAGGCGGTGTCATTACCGCAGGATTGACCTCACACAAAGGTCTAAGAATGAGGTTAAAGCAGCATCATTTGTTCCTTCTTTTCCTTCTCCTCTTTTTTCTTTATCCTCTTCCTCTTCAATTTTAGCTGCTTTTGCTATGACCTTCAATGTCATCTCGTCTTTTATTCGAACGACGTACTCGATGTGCATTTGATGTTCCAGTGATTTGGTTTAACGTCGCGTGCGTTCATTCAGGCCTATGCGACTAGTTGATGTCCGCGCAGCAGACTGTCAATTGCTCGTGGTGGAAGGAACAAGAGCATTACCCCACAGGCTATTATGTTCTGAAAGAGAGCTGCTAAATTAGCCGTCAGATAGTGGAACAATAAGTTCCAAGCAACCTGAATAGAAGACTTTCATGAGTGGGATTAGACCCAACACGAATTCACGTTCAATTGAAAATGGATATTTAATCGGTGGCTATCTTGAGTGTGAATCGTTCCAACACACACTCAAGTATAAGTCGAATTCAAGTCTACAGCGGCGTTGCAGGTGTCTGTCAAAGCAGTTTGTGACGCCTGTTGCGATTGGTCGGTAACTGTAACATCATATCGGGACACCTGGAGCTAGGACGAGTTGAAATGATTCCAAATCTCTACCCATGTACGGGAATCCGAGTGAGGAAAAGGAGGAAGAATGTTACAACAGCTGGTGCGAAGCGAAATCATGGGCATAGTGTACCCTCCCAAGACGCCGGTCCCTACTTGTTTCAAATTCAGTCAAGTTGTACTAATGGACATATAATGAACCAATAATGAGTAAGTCACCTAAGGAGTGAACCAAAATCCCTTGAATCTTGAATTTTGTTTCTTACCCATTAAATTTGTTAGAGGAGCTAAATTTACTTTGTTTCTTCTGAATAATTGTTTTCCTGGAGAACAACATTATTGATTTGGACAAAGACATTTTTTTTCGAAAATATTCTAAATTAGAAAGGGACAACACAAACTTTAAATTGTGTAAATTCTGGAATTTTCTGTTAGCCTTAGTCTGACGTGGTCATCCGTCATTTTGGACCGGAACTTCATACACTTCAGACAGTGTTTACAACATTTTACAGGACTTATATTTCTATTTTGAACAAACATTTTGGATTTCTTGATTGGTCCAGTATTTACACTGATTTATAGATATACTTCAATGTCTAGTATTTACACTGATTTATAGATATAATCTTTTACCTATAGTTTGTATCGCCTCATCTCATCGTTCTTATATTCAGTAATCCTCTGTGATATAAGGACTAATATAGACACCGAAATGAGGCATGAAATTCAAACTATTGACATATTTTTGATACATTATTTGATTGCCTACCCTTTAAGGAAAGGATTTCTTGGAGCTTTGTGAATGTTTGTCACCACACTCCATCACTTCCTTGTAATCAGACTGTCAGTAAACGCTTGATCCCGTCAAACATCTGGTAATATTAGTCTTTTTTCTGTTTATTTACTGACATAGATGTATTGCTTTTTGAATAAAACACTTCCAAAAGGGTGATCCTCACAGACTTTCTGAGATTATATATTTTCCACTGCTTCCTCTTTTACAAGGCAGAAATGATTTTGATGTCCCACCATTTAGTAGGAGGCTAGTTTTACTTAACTCAACAAGCTTTTGCCAGTTTAGATATCTTTGTGCACTTGTCCAAATTTCAAAAATACAGGTAATCAAATTTATATCGATGAAACAAAAAAAAATCGCATTTAATTGTGTTACAAAATTACTTATGTTAATTTGTTCGAGAATTGTGATTGGGTGAGATGATATGTGAAACTTAATGTAGTTTGAAGTAATAAGGTACGAACAGTGTATAGTCGGATAGAAAAGAAAAATTAGCATCGATTTAAATTAATGTGGATGAAATGTACATGAAATAAATACTTCAAGAAGGTAACGATAAAATTATGTTGTCGTTGTGGCCGAGCGGTTAAGGCGATGGACTCGAAATCCATTGGGGTTTTCCCGCACAGGTTCAAATCCTGTCAACGATGTAATAATTAATTTTTTTAATGCGCACGTTGGAAAACGTAACAGAGAATTCAAAAGCATTTTACCATTCATTCCCATTAGCTATTTCCTATAGAAAAAAATTGTCATTGTTTTAATAACAAATCTAATTTGTGCCATACAGCGTATCTTTTATTTTATTGAAGATCCTGTGTATTACAACCCGATGGGTGGGAAAAGTTTTTTTACCGGTTGTTTTCACAAAATGCACAAGTGTATACCCAATTACCCATAATGTAACGCTGCCATCTTGATTTCCAAACAAACGTTTAATCACAACGACGTATATTCAAGATTAAAATATGTTTTAATCGTCGATAAGGATATTTACTTGATCGAAATTGCTCTTGAGCTAGGTAGCCTATAGCACGAAAGACAACATACGCTAAAAACTCAATGGCTCATATCTAAAGCCGGAATTTTGAAGTTTAACATCAATTGTACATATTGCTATCAGTTAGAACTGCAACTATTTCTGACAAACAGACAATATAGTGATTTTAGCAAATATACATTATGTATGATCTCCCAAGATTGTCACCTTGAAAGAGCATTTGCGAAGGATGATCTTAGGGATACAGTCTTAGTTAGGGGATTAAAATGTCATGACATGATTGTATTTCACACAGTCCTTCTTTGCACAAACACTTGGCGCAAAAGAAAGTGCTGACCTCCACAAGATGTCAAAAATCGCCGTTTTTGGTTTCTGGAATTATCTCATGCATTTTCTCACATTTAGTGGTATCTCGCTGCAGTCTGATTATCTTCTGGAATTCTTTCAGTGGTTCATCAATAGCTCTATGATCATCAAATATCTCCTGATAATAAGCTATTAATTCCTTCCGCCAGGCATGCAGAGATGAGCCAAGAAAACGTGGTGGTTGACCGTGATCTCCACACATAACATCACTAGTTTGAGTCACTAACCAATGAAAAAACATTTTAATATGTACACGAATACTGTGCATGTCTCGTAACAGATAATAATCTTTGGAATATATTTTTCACCCATTCGTTCATGTGTCGACGCATCGATGTCCATCGAAAGAAACTGTGATACGTTGATCCCGTTGAACACCTCTTCTTTCATCTTTCTGGCAACTCGGTTTGCAGGATTTAGTACAATCATGTCAAGATTCCCAGAACCATGGTTCAGGAAGAACTCAACAGTACTTCTTGTTGTACCGAGCGGTTAAGGCGCTGGACTTGAAATCCATTGGGGTTTTCCCGCACAGGTTCAAATCCTGTCAACGATGTAATAATTAATTTTTTTTTAATGCGCATGTTCGAAAACATAACAGAGAATTCAAAAACATTTTACCATTCATTCCCATTAGCTATTGGATATAGAAAAAGTAGTCATTGTTTTAATAACAAATGTAATTTGTGCCATGAAAGCGTATTATTTATTTTTTTGAGGATCCTGTGTATTACATCCCGGTGGGTAGAAAAAGTTTCTTACGGGTTGTTTTCACAAAATGCACAATTGTATACCCAATCACCCATAATGTAACGCTGCCATTTTGATTTCCAAACAAACGTTTAAAGACAACGACGTATATTCAAGATTAAAATATGTTTTAATCGTCCATAAGGATATTTACTTTATCTGAATGGTTCTTGAGCTAAGAAGCCTATAGTACGAAAGACAACATAGGCTAAAAACTCCATGGCTCATATCTAAAGACGAATAGTGAAGTTTAACATCAATTGTAAATATTGCTATCAGTCAGAACTGCAACTATTTCTGACAAACAGACAATATAGTGATTTTAGCAAATATACATTATGTATGATCTCCCAAGATTGTCATCTTGAAAGCGCATTTGCGAAGGATGATCTTAGGGATACAGTCTTAGTTAGGGGATTAAAATGTCATGACATTGTTATATTTCACACAGTCCTTCTTTGCACAAACACTTGGCGCAAAAGGAAGTGCAGACCTCCACAAGATTTCAAAAATCGTCGTTTTTGGTTTCTGGAATTATCGCATGCATTTTCTCACATTTAGTGGTATCTCGCTGCAGTCTGATTATCTTCTGGAATTCTTTCAGTGTTTCATCAATAGCTCTATGATCATCAAATATCTCCTGATAATAAGCTATTAATTCCTTCAGCCAGGCATGCAGAGATGAGCCAAGAAAACGTGGTGCATGATCATGATCTCCACACATAACATCTCTGGTTTGAGTCACTAACCAATGAAAAAACATTTTAATATGTACACGAATACTGTGCATGTCTCGTAACAGATAATAATCTTTGGAATATATTTTTCACCCATTCGTTCATGTGTCGACGCATCGACTTCCATCGAAAGAAACTGTGATACGTTGATCCCGTTGAACACCTCTTCTTTCATCTTTCTGGCAACTCGATTTGCAGGAGTTAGTACAATCATGTCAAGATTCCCAGAACCATGGTTCAGGAAGAACTCAACAGTACTTGTTGTTGTACCAATCGTCATGTCCGTTGAGAAACGGTTTTATATCTGCCCATAGGATCATTTACCGATTGTGTTGGTAACAGTTGTAACATCTGACTATTTTTATAATATATTTCCTCAGATCTATAATCAGCCGATTCAGAATAATATAATATTTTTCTTTTCGTTCTCCACTTACCACACGATGCATCAACACCAACGTGCAATTCATTTGCCAGTCCTGCATTATTTCACTGATACAAAAAAATCTTTGTCGAGTCTAACCTCTGCGAGAGGAAATCTGTTTATCATCGATAATAAGTTTTCTTAACCTACGCTATCTTCAAAGATCTTTAATGAGTAAACTGTGGGAAGCCACAATCAATGCATCTTACATTTGTTCCTATTTTGATTCCGTCCGATCGGTTAATATTATTTCGATTTACAAATATATTTTTGTCTATTGTAACGGCAATTATAAAAAGGTGCTAATCTTGTACAAGATCATTTATGATCATATTAATCTCCTGCGAATATTTACCAAGTATTTTCTGCCAAGATCTTTTGAAAGTTTAATATCGTACTTTACTTCATCGGGATTGCGCTCAAAAATATCATCAAGAACAGGTCTCTCAACGACAGCGGGTTTTGGTAGCCAGATTTGGTTTGTGGACGATACAATATTGTTGCTTCACTCACAGTTAACGATATCAATATTTTTGCATCAATCATATATGGTAATAAAACTTTTGGAGTCCGACCACATTCATTAAAATGACGACCAAACCAAACAGCAACAACCGGATGAAGGTTTTTCGATGCAACCTCGAATGACTCAATACATCTGGTTAAATAGAAATCTGGCAAGGATACGTTTATCGCAACTCTTATCATCTCGTGTGTTGGATGTCCAAATCTTTTCAATTACTCAGAATAGTCTCCCATTTCAAGAAACCTCCAAGAAAACATGCAACTAAATCAACTGCGGTGACATCTTTATTATCGTATTCCGAATTCCACAATCCGTCGTGTCCGTATTCGACATAACTGCCTTGTATATCATCAAGAAATTTCAACCGTGTTGGCTTCCATCAACATTTCCCCTGAGCAAAATTAGCCTGAACTGATTGTACGGTGAAGTAATTACCGAGTATTCATTCGGTAACATCAGTATCGTTCAAAGCAATCTTTGTCATGTAGCCATGAAGAGATTCTGTACGATAATATTTCCATTAGATCGCACAAATTGTTCGTAATAGCTATAATCGGAACATTGACAACCTTAAAGTATGTTTTCATCACTATAATAATTTCGATTGGTCTCAAGTACAACAAGATACGTAAGCCCTGATCTGCCACCCATGAAGAGATTCCTGATCAGAGTTCATTTTAGCTTTAGTAGTACTCGACTTAAAGTTGAGCCTTAGCCTCTGTTAACACAATCCATTTTAGGTAATATCAGCCTTGCATTACGGTTCATCATTTCTAAAGCCTGTGGTAAACGATACATATTTCAGAGGGTGTTGCTACCAGGATTAATTCAATCTGGATGTTTTCATGACATGTACGCCAAATCTGAATTAGACATCGGTCTTACATCTTTGCGTCAAGATGACTCTAGCATGGGAATAAAATTTGTCACATTGACTAAATTTATTTTACATCAATGTCCAATATTTACATTGATTTATAGAAATAATCTTTTACCTATAGTTTGTCACATTGACTATATTTATTTTACTTCAATGTCTAGTATTTACATTGATATATATATATATATATATATATATATATATATATATATATATATATATATATATATATATATATATATATATATATATATATTCTTTTACCTATAGTTTGTTTCGCCTCATGTCATCGTTCTTATATTCAGTAATCTTCTGTGATATAAGGACTAATATAAACACCGAAATTAGGCATGAAGATCAAACTATTGACATATTTTTGATACATTATTCGATTGTCTTCCATTTAATGAAAGGATTTCTTGGAGCTTCGTGCATGTTTGTCACCACACCGCACCACTTCCCTTGTAATCAGACTGTCAGTAAACGCTTGATCCGGTGGAACATCTGGTAATATTAGTTTTTTTTCCTGTTTAATTACTGATATAGATGTATTGCTTTTTGAATAAAACACTTCCAAAAGGGTGATCCTCACCGAAGTTCTGAGGTTATATATTTTCCCACTGTTTCCTCTTTTACAAGACAGAAATGATTTTGATGTCCCACCATTTAGTAGGAGGCTAGTTTTACTTTACTCAACACGCATGTGCCAGTTTAGATATCTTTGTGCACTTGTCCAAATTTCAAAATGACAGGTGATCATGTATATATCAATGAAACAAAAAATCGCATTTAATTATCTTACAAAATTACTTATGTTAATTTGTTCGAGAATTGTGATTGGGTGAGATGATGTTATATGTGAATTTATTTGTAATGTGAAATAATACGTACGAACAGTGTATATTCGGATAGAAAAGGAAAAATTAGCATTGATTTAAATTAATGTGGATCAAATGTACATGAAATAAATCCTTCAAGAAGGTGACGATAAAATCATGTTGTCGTTGTGGCCGAGCGGTTAAGGCGATGGACTCGAAATCCATTGGGGTTTTCCCGCACAGGTTCAAATCCTGTCAACGACGTAATAATTAATTTTTTTTAATGCGCATGTTCGAAAACATAACAGAGAATTCAAAAACATTTTACCATTCATTCCCATTAGCTATTAGATATAGAAAAAGTAGTCATTATTTTAATAACAAATGTAATTTGTGCCATAAAAGCGTATTATTTATTTTTTTGAGGATCCTGTGTATTACATCCCGGTGGGTAGAAAAAGTTTCTTACGGGTTGTTTTCACAAAATGCACAATTGTATACCCAATCACCCATAATGTAACGCTGCCATTTTGATTTCCAAACAAACGTTTAAAGACAACGACGTATATTCAAGATTAAAATATGTTTTAATCGTCCATAAGGATATTTACTTTATCTGAATGGTTCTTGAGCTAAGAAGCCTATAGCACGAAAGACAACATAGGCTAAAAACTCCATGGCTCATATCTAAAGACGGAATTGTGAAGTTTAATATCAATTGTCAATATTGCTATCACTTAGAACTGCAACTATTTCTGACAAACAGACAATATAGTGATTTTAGCAAATATACATTATGTATGATCTCCCAAGATTGTCATCGTGAAAGAGCATTTGTGAAGGATGATCTTAGGGATACAGTCTCAGTTAGGGGATTAAAATGTCATGACATGATTGTATTCCACACAGTCCTTCTTTGCACAAACACTTGGCGCAAAAGAAAGTGCTGACCTCCACAAGATGTCAAAAATCGTCGTTTTTGGTTTCTGGAATTATCTCATGCATTTTCTCACATTTAGTGGTATCTCGCTGCAGTCTTATTATCTTCTGGAATTCTTTCAGTGGTTCATCAATAGCTCTATGATCATCAAATATCTCCTGATAATAAGCTATTAATTCCTTCAGCCGGTCATGCAGAGATGAGCCAAGAAAACGTGGTGGTTGATCATGATCTCAACACATGATAACATCTCTACTTTGAGTCACTAATCAATCAAAAATACATTTTAATATGTATATGGATACTGTGCATGTCTCGTAACAGATAATAATCTTTGGAATATATTTTTAACCCATTCGTTCATGAGTCGACGAATCGACTTCCATCGAAAGAAACTTTAATAAGTTGATCCCTTTGAACATCTCTTTCTTTCATCTTTCTGGCAACTCGGTTTGCAGGAGTTAGTATAATCATGTCAAGA